TGCTATAGGGCACATGCACTCGCCAGAAAGCAAGAAATCACCCCCCAGGGGGGATGGCCACGCTGCAATTCCTTCTCCTCCATTCTCCTCTTGGGCTCTTGGGCACACTCACACACGCCTGGCATGAGCTTAAGCCACCAGGTCCAGGACCTGAACCGCGGTTGACTACATGGGAGTCCAGCGACATAGCCATTATGCTAACTACTGGTCCCCCACATCCATTTCCTTTTCAACTGCTCATCTCTACTTGACTTAACCATGCAGAGGTTATGCCACTTTAAAAAAATCCTGGAATTCTTAAGGTGGATAAGATATGGAAAAAAGGTATGTTTATGAGCAGCATAAAAAGCTGAGGGGAACCCCCAGAATAACCAGATTCTGAAAGATGACTGGCTTGCTTACCACTGGATCCTTATAGTATCTTCCCAAACTACCTGTTTGTTTTTATTTCAGGCTGTTTCCTGAAATTTCAAAAGCAGAGAATTATCACAGTTAACAATCAATGGAAGGCCTTATATGTAAGTTCCATAGAAGTTTTTCATATCAGTCTGTTTATTTCAAATCCTGGTTCTGCCACCTATTCGGTATATAATCGTGTAAAGATCACTCAACCTTTCTGAGTACTAGTTTTCTTATGTATGACATGGGTAACCCCCCCACACACGTGATTTGTTTTCATGGAGACATAAGGGCTTTCAGGGCTAACATGAATATCTGAGGGATCTAAGCAGGAGAGGGACATCCTGCCTTCTCAGCACCCCAGAATTTAGACTCTAGTATCTGGAGAGACAGACAAGAGTCATATAGAATTTTTATGAGGGACAAAAGGATGCAGTATGTTTGAAAGCCCCTAGTACATATAGCATTTCCCACGTGGCAAGTACACATCTTATTTCCTTCCTCTCAAAAATGTCTGTGTGGATCTGCTATAACCCATGTATCACAAGAAGTGCTGGTGGCGGGAGATGAGTGAGATGCCTGGCTTCTTCTTCTCCAGTTGCTCCTGTTCCCATGGTAGGACAGACAGCAATGTGTTGAAGGATGCAAAAAGTGCTTAAGAGATTATTGATTTCGGGACCAGCAGTTAGCGTAATGGCTATGTCACTGGATTCCCACGTAGTCGACCATGGTTCGAGTCGAACTCGGTGGCTTAAAACTCACACCAGGTGCGTGTGCGTGCGTGTCCAAGATCCCGAAAGGATAGTGGAGGAGAAGGGATTGAGGCGTGGCCATCCCCCTGGGAGGTGATTTCTCGCTTTCTGTCTCTCTGTCTCTGGCGAGCGCACGTGCCCTATGGCAAAAACCTCTCCAAAAAAAGAGAGATTATTGATTTCAGGAAGCAATCAACTTGGTCAAGTGGTGAAAGGATGGATAAATTAATCAAGAAGACACTAGAGAAAGCTTGGGTCTCATCTCACTTGATGATACAGTAATACTAAAGGTGCCTTTCTTCATATTTATAGTAAGGAAACTTCAGAAATGCTCATGTGATCTTGTCAGGGCTTAAACACTTCTGAAGATTTGCTTAAAAACTTCTGAAGGCTTGCCCTGGCTTCAAGTTTCAATTCTCTAAACACATAAGAAAACCCTTCACTACTGGATTTCAGAAAATTATTTCATACCATCACTTCAGATCCTCAGGAACTAAATGTTAAGAAGATGTAGGGGAAATGTATATCTTGCTATAAATTAATTTAATGCAAATACTTTCTTTATACCAATGTTAGATTAGTTGTAGGGAATTAAGGGGTTTTGAGGAGATAAAAGAGAAGTAGGCAATTTTGGAATACAGAACATTCTGGGGGATATGCAGAAGCAGAAAAGTGCATGTGGGGCACTCTGATAAGAGGACCCCAGATGGTGAGGGGCTGGGAAAGTTATGCTTTTCTAAGCAAAAATGTGTCATGACTTTTCCGATGATCCAATTATTTCCAGTTCTAGAGACTCAAACTCAGCTAAAGTACATTATAAATTAACTGACTCCAGAACTAGCCCACAACACCTTCCTGCCAGTTTTACAGAAAAAAAATCTCTTTATATCCAATTGTTACCCTAATGCTCGGAATGCTAATTCTTTGGAATGCTGGAGATTGCTTATACTATATAGTCCTAACCATCTCACTGGATAAAAGAGGGAATACACATAACACAAGGCAAACACCTAGTTAAAAATCCAAAGCATCTACATTTGACTTTGGAACATAAACATAAACATACATACACACCCTTTATCCCTAAACCTTCATCTCTGAATTTAGCCCTAACTCTTCATTTGATTTTACTATGAGATGGTGACAGCAAGCCAGTTTGAGTTTTAGTTGTTATCATAGCTCACTGCACAATACAACCAGAAATCATCTAAACCTCCTCAGATTTCAAAGGTAGAATAGCTTATCCGATCCTTCCAGAGGACTCATGTTACTATCATGTATTCCATCTCACTATATTTTCAGTCTCTCAGATGGGTTTGATCTTGGTTTAAGGATGTGCTCTCTGCTATATCCAGCAGAACGATTCTACTATAATGTAAAACAGTCTCTTATTATGCACTTAGTTAAAGTAGCCTCTGGTCATAGCCTCGGTTTTATTCTGGCCACCCAGTAACCATACTTTGTTTTGATAAAAGCCACTTGATTCTGCTTTGGAAAAACCGTTCTTATCCCACTGAGGATAGTCTGATATATGACTCTCCCCCATCTCTGGGGTAGGCACACAACCAAAGACCACATAATTTGAAACTTTAACCTGAAAAATGGATCCTAAGAAAAATGACAAAGGCGGTGAATATACAGAGTTGATATATTGCAGCAGTGACCTGAAAATACAACTTACTAGTGCCACCTACTAGTGGAGCTAGCTTGGTTTTTGTCCTTCCTGGCCCTCATTTATTTATTTTTTTTTTTAGCTTCTTTTTAAATCTCAAGAGCAATCTTGGAATTCCTTTTTCTATTCAAGTTAACCAGTTAGTTTCTGTTCTTGTTATTAAAGAATACTGAATATATAGTTCCACAGGGTATTAACTCTTCCTGTCATGCCTTCCAAACCCATCCTTTGAAATACCATTGCTAGGACTGAGCTTCCTAGAACAAAGCTTTGATCATTCATCCAACATACACATTAAGTATCACTATTATGAATTCAATTTATTTTTGAACTCTTATTAGTACAAGATAAGGTTAGACATACCTTAAATACACAAGTGCTCAAAATAGACAAGGCCTTTACTTTCTGGTGAGGTAAATAAGATAATAAACAAGACACAAACAAAAATTCCAAATTGTGCTATGTGCTATGATAGAACTAAATAGGATGTTTTGGTTGGATGTAGTACTTAAGAGATTTAGAGAGGGTAGTTAGGAAATGTACTGATTCAATATTTTAGTAGAGACTTAAGATCTGAATAGAACGAGCCAGACCTGACCCCATTTAAAAACAAAGTAATAAAAACAAAGGTTTTCCACTGGGCCAAAATAGAACATTAAAAAAAAAAAAAAAAAAAAAAAAAAAAAAAGCTACAAAACTGTATATAATCCTGTTTTGAACTACTTTTAAATTTTTCTTTCCCTTAGTTATCCCCTGTAATAACCTGCTTCAGACACTTTGGCTCTGGACACAACTTGTATCTCCTATTCTTCCCGTTATTTAATCTGAAATGTCTTAAAAGTCATCTACTTCCTTCCCAGCACACCATTCACATGGTCATTAATCACCTTTCAAAGCTCAGTTCAAGTTTCAACTTCTCCATGAAGCCTTCTGCTATGGGCTGAATTGTGTCCCCTAGTCCCCAAATTCCTATGTTGAAGTCCTAATATCCAGTACCTTGGAATGTACTTGCATTTGGAGAGGTATTCTTTAGAGAGGTGGCTAAATTAAAATGAGGTCATTGGGGTAGACCCTAACCCAACATGACCGGTGTGCTTATAAAAAGAGACTAGGACAAAGATATGCAGAAAGGGATGGCCATGTGAAGACACAGGGGGAAAAAAAGATATCTGCAAGCTAAGCGGAGAGGCCTCAGAAGAAACTCTCCTGACACCTGGATGCTGGACTTCCCAGCCTCCAAAACTGTAAGAAAAGAACTGTCTGTTCTTTAAAATATCTCATCTATGAAACTGTGTTATAGAAGCCCAAGCAGATTAACATACTCTTCTTGAATTTATAATGAAGTTATACATCAGTTTATAGTAATCAAACACTGCCTTTCAACTTCTGTATTATGTAGAGCTGGCCCCACTTACATAGGGTTTATTCACTACCTTACATTACAGTTAGTCATTAGTGGTTTCCCCAACAGGACTGTGAACTATTTAAGGATAATAATCTGCTTAGTATCTTTGGCACTCTTCACCATAAATATTTGTTAATTTTTCTGTATGCTCTATTCCAATTAATATGTGAGTAGAAACAATTTCTTTAAATTATTTTCCTAAAAGAAATCTGGTCACATCACTGCTGTTTTAAAATACCATGCTGATTTTTCAATTACTTCCTAGAGAAACTACTGAGTCATCAGAAAAGTCATGACTTACTATTTTTTTTTCCTATGCAAAAATGCATTATGACTTTTCCTATGACCCCAAGACTGATGGCTGGCACATAAGAATTCCTCACATTCTGTTTGCAATTCTCCCTTATTACATGGCTCCTTACTATTACCCTACAAACTTGTATACCCAGTTTCTGCCACATAAAATATCTTTACTTCTTTGCTTCACTAATTTCTTTGAAAAAAAAAAATCAGCTAAAATGTCACTGTTCTCTACAAAGATTTTGTAGTCCGTCCCTAGCTAGTAAATCAGTCATTTAAATTACCACAATACTTCATTCTCTGCAATATGACCACAACTATTTCAACTGGTCTCATTTACATTGCTCCCCTCATGAGAATCCATAAAGGGAAGAGCCCAAGTTTTCACTTGTGTCTCTAATGCTCAGCACAAAACCTACTGGGCAAAGAGAAAAATCATTAAGCTTGAGGCTCAAGACGTGGACTTGCTCACCTTTATATCTCCAGCATCTGTTACAGAGCCCAACACGTGGCAGTTTTCTATGAGATCTTGTGGCTTTAATCACTTCTGGACGAAGACTTCCAAATACGAATCTCTGCTTAGACTTCTTGAGACTCTTGCCTCTCAAGGGGCCACTGAGCAGTTCCAGCACAATATATCCCACAAGTCCAAGGTGGTCTTAATGATCTACATCTTCCTGTCCTTATTACATTTGCTTGTCCTCAGATACATCCTCTGGTCTGGTATGCTGCCAGTCAGTAGATCTCCTAACTCAGAAACTTCTTTCCTTTAGAACAATCACTGAGGCCTGGCAAACCAAGGTCTTAACTAGATCTCCTTACCATTACCTTACACTTGCATACCAAGTTTGTGACACATAAAATATCTTTATCTCTTGTTTCACTAATTTCCATAGAATTAGAATCTGTTCTTTCCATCCCTACTGGCTTTGGGGACAACTAGAATTGTCCCTTCCACTATCTTGTCAAGAGATCTCCCTAGTAATTTAACCTGTTTTTTGTTACTTTTAATTCTTCCTTACCAGTGTACACATCTAATAAGCCCTACTAAATAATTCTGCAAGTTCCTTGGAGAAAGTTGTATCTTTTTCAATTTTCAGTTTCAGAGAATGAAGTATACTACACTTTTAATAGTGTTAAAGGAATGAATTAAAGTTACTTTTAAGTAAACCAATGCCTCAAATTTCCACTTTCTTTTTAACAGCAAGACTTAGAGGTACTTAAACTTGATGACTATTTGTCACTAGAAATGGATGATCTCCTTCAAGCTTTTGAAGGAAAGTTTTAAAAAATAATTTTCAGTGAGGCATCTTCCTAAAAGGGATTAGCTGACCTTCTTGTCTTCTTAAATCAGGCAGAAAGAACATAATGCAAGCTCCTTAATTGATGACTCAGGGTCATCATCATGAACAATCTCTGGACTATGCTGTAGCACACTGATGCCCTCAGATGCCGAAGGTGAACAGAGTTATAATAGCTCTTGCACCACCACCAAAAAAAAAAAAATCCCACGCTGTGCGATGTCTGGCTCATTTTATCCTCATCACACAAGAGTACCTGTCTAAAAACACCCCGCCTCCATATGTACTGCTTATGTGGTATTCTCCAGTCACATAGCCCTCCTCGTTGATGTGCACAGCAACTTAGGGTAAACGGCTAGGACCCGAGGGCTGTCCTATGACTGCAGGCATGGTCTTTTGTAGATAAAACTACTGTGCGTGTTCCAGGTAAGTGCAGCCCGGGTGAAAAGAAAAGCCATGGAGAAACCGCGAGGGGCTCCACTGCCAACAACCGGCTGCTCTGCACCGGCTCGCCGTGCGAATCCCACAGGCCTCCAGCCGAAGATTTCGGATAGAGGAAGGGGCAGTCTCAGGTGGGAAACCGCCCACAGAAAGGCTCTCAGCCAGCGGAGGGCGCTGCACTCTGCGGTACACCGGGGCGAGACAGAAGCCAGGGGTTCCGGAGGAAGATGAAGGCGCGGCGAGGTCCAGACGTCCGCGGTGGGGTTCGGGAGAGGAGTTGTCAAGAGGCGGCCAGGGGGCGGGAAAGGAGCGGACACCCGGCCGAGGGGCAGCACTCACTGGCCCCGACGCAGAGGCCGCGGCAGGTGCGGGGTTCTCCACCACTGCCAACCAACTTCCGCGCACCTCCCAGCCACCCCCACACCTGCCCAGAACTGGGGCACGCGCCCGTTGCCGCACGGCGTTTCAACCGCTTCGCACTGAGGGCGCACACCCAGGACAAGCGCGTCCACCACCTGGGGAAGCCCGGCCGGAGGGAGCAGCTAAGCCCGAGAGGGAGTGGAGCATGCGCAGTACATAGGGCGAGGCTATGTGTGGGCAAGGAGCATGCGCAGTGTGAAGGCACAATCGGCTACGTGGGCGCTCAGGGCATGCTCGGTAAGCGCCCGGGCGCAGCGCACGCGCACAAACGCTCGGAGCCCGCAACCCGCTGGCGGAGAGAAAAAAGAGAGAAATCACCTCAGAGTTACGTCAGGAAAGGCCGCGTTCTGTGGAGAGGCTGTGGCCTCCCTCGGAACCCCGCAGTTCTCCTAGAACGAGGGGCGTGACAGATACTCACCGGTCTTCAGCCCCAAGGCAGGCGCCGGGCCCCTTTCCGCTCACACTCGGCCACCACGCCGCAGCCGCCGCTGCCGCTGTGATTCCATCCATCTTGAATTTGACGTCATCCCACACCAGGGATGAGGTCATCGCAGGCAGTGCTCGTCACGTGCGCGGCTCTGTGATTGGCCGCTGGGCACCGGGGGGCGGGGCGAGGGAGGTGCGCGGCGCCAAGGCTAGGGAGGGCGGTCCTGACCCGAGCTGAGCGGTTGGCGGTGGCTGCTGCTTCCCGGTTGTGTGGGGGCGCCGCAGTGGCCTTGAGGGAGCACCGACAGTAGCCTGATGCGCGACCAGGATGCTAGCATCTAGAGCAGCCCGCTGCGCCGAGGAGACGAGCAGTTCCCTCGACTGCCGCTGACGGGGGCCACCGTGGCAGCTGTGCAGGGCACCGCGTTGCTTCCGCGGTCAGCCGGCGGGTACTCGCCAGGCAGATTCCGGCTGTGGCGCCCGGAGGACATAGGAGGGCGAGTGTTGACGGGCAGGACCCCGAGCCCAAGGACCCCGAGCCGCGGTCAGCGGCGCCCTGTGACTCTGTGGCCCTCGGTTTGGGGGGCACTTCGAGGCCTGTGTGGGAAGTCGCGGGTATGGAGTTGGCTCAGAATTGCTTTCTATCCTGGTCTTGCCTCCTGCGGTGACCGTTCACAGGATGGTCCGGTGGAGTGTTAGCAAAACGGGCTTCCAGGCTCGCTCCACGTGCACAATTTGGATGGCCGCTCTGATGATCAGCTACTTGTGGCTGGCACTTGTCAACACGTTTCACAGACAAAATCATTTTTAAAAAGAAGTTTTCGAGTTAAGTGATGAGTAGGCAGCGAACTTATTTTGCATAATACCAGTTTTCGTCGGGTGTCTTTTAGACTTCTTGTTAGTTTTCGTGCATAAATATTACCATTTCATTTATTAGAATATTTCTTCACTTTCAGTCAAAACCAGGAAATTAGAAAACGCCAAACTGTTTATGGCAGCTCTAGAGGAACATTCTCGAGTTGAGGCTAGTAGAACATCCTGAGCCTAGAACAGATCAGGAGGTTGCTCTCTAAAGTGGTAAGTCTAGAAGAGGCATTTAAAAATAATAGCATTTTCAGTTAGCTTTAGTACTTTGAAGTGCTGTTAATGTCCAAATAAATTCAATTTTTATAAATTTGATTTATGAACACGGTCCTAGATAAAGTATTATAAAATATTTGCAGAGTATGTGGAAGAGGTAAATTCATTAGGTTGATACAAATTAAATTTTGTTACCAAATTAATAAGCTCTATAATCAGTTTTAGTAGAGGATTTTAGGAGAAAAGTCTTGCACCTAAAACTGTTCTACAACTATTTAAAAACTCATTAAAGAATCTTTATATTTTGAACTGTATGTAAAGTAAAAAATGACTTTGTACTTGACAGAGGATAGAAAGCAACAGTGACTAGAAATTTTTCTTTTTTAAATTTTTTTAATTTAAATTTATTTTTTTATGTTCATTCACTGTACATCATTACAGCATACAAAATGGGATTTTCCATCCAGAGTACACTGTATATTGTCGCAATCAAGCACATCAAGGGAACCAGCAGTTATCGTAATGGCTATGTCGCTGGACTCCCACGTAGTCTACCGGGGTTCGCGTCCCGGACCTGGTGGCTTAAAACTCACGCTGGGTGCATGTGCGTGTGTGCCCAAGATCCTGAGAGGAGAATGGATTGTGGCGTGGCCATCCCCCCTGGGGGGTGATTTCTCACTTTCTATGTCTCTCTCTGCCTGCCTGGCAAGCGAATGCGCCCTATAGCGGAAACCTCTAAAAAAAAAAAAAAATCAAGCGCATCAACATACATGTTATTGTCAACAAATAATTTTCCATTTCTTGTTTCCTGTATGTTTTGTTTCCCCCCCCCCCCCATCCTTGATTCCCTATCTCTTACCCTCTGCCATCTCCCACTCTCTTCCCACACTGTCTCTGGTATCTATGTTTGCTTTCTATACTGTTCCCCACCCTCCATTTTTTATTGAATTACTAAAGATCTTAATTAATCTAAATATTTTCCCTGTAATTAGGCTGAGTAAGCATATGCTACTATCTATCTATCTATCTATCTATCTATCTGTCTATACACACACACACACACAATTTTTAAAGAACTTGCTGGAGGGTATGTATGCTCTCTGGAGAGAGAGGTGGGGAGGAGTGAAAAGCATCCTCCATGGGGGTGGTGATACTGAAACCCTTCTCCATTTCTCCTGGGATTTGCAGCACTCACACATGCACTCTGTCAAGACTTCGGGTCCAGGACTTGAACCATGCAGTTGGCTATGTGGAATCCAGCTGCCCCAGCTGCCTCAACCACCACATCACTTGCCCTATTATCTCTATTTTACAAATGAGAAAATAAATATTGATCTGCTTAGCAAGAGCCAGAGCTGGAAGCCAGATTTTCTGGTGCTTAATTTACCATATACCAAAAGCTCAGCAGTACCTTTCTAGCTGTTTTGCTTACCTAGTTTTTTTTTTTTTTTTTTCTTCCTCAGAAAGATACACATTGGTATCTCTACTTTAAAAAAATATAATCAGGCTTTTGCCTTTACTATTTCATTGAAATTGACTTAACTACTAAATCTAACAGAAACCTTCCAATCTTTCAAATTGATTTGTGACACTCTTTACTAATTCCCTTGTCAAAGTTGATTGCCCCAGTGACATCTCACTCCCCTGGATTTTCTCCCTCTTATCTGACTGTACCTTCTTGGCCTCCTGCACTGGCCTCTCTGCCCTGCTCACACTTTGGGTTTCCCAAGGGTTCTGACCTTGGCTTTCTTGTTACACTCACCCTTTGCAGTTTCTTCCATCCCTGGAACAGTTGCCTAGTTGCCTAAGGCAGAACTTGAGTACCATCTTCTGCTCCTCCCTCATCTCCAGTATTCAGCCTGTCACCAAAACACGCCTGTCCTACCTTGTAAATGTTTCTTTGATAATGTAAGCACTTCTTTCTGCCCCAAACAGCTTTCTCAGCATTGATGTTTTTCTCTTTTAACTCATCCTCTCACATCACAGCCAAAATCATCTTTTTATTATAAAAAGTGAAAGTAGCATGCCAGTCCCTTGCTTAATTTTTTTTTTTTGGTTAGGTTTTGCCATAGAGTGAGTATGGTAGCTGGAGAAAGACAGAGACAGACAGAACGTGAGAAATCACTTCCTGGGGTGATGGTCACTCTGCAGTCCTTTCTCCATTCTCCTCTCAGGTTTTTGGGCACACATGGGCAAACACCCAGTGTGCTTTTCAAGCTCCCAGGTCCGGAACTCACCAGGGTCAGCCTTGTGGGAATCCAGCATATTAACCACCATGCCACATGCTGGCCCAACTTGCTTGTTTTGAATGGTTCTTCATTTCCCTTGGGAAGTAGTTCAAACTCCAGCCTACAAGAGCCTGATGTCTTGGCCCACTTCTCCCCTGATTTTTCTTCCTGTCCTCACACAGACACACATACTTTGCTAACAAGTCTTGTTGTGTCTCTTGCTTCTGGGCTTCAAATGTATGCTTCCCTCTACCTAAGCTGTTACTCCCTTACCTCCCCCAACCACCAACAAGCAGGCTCTTAACTTGATAATTTCATTTTGCTGATTCATATTATTTCCTCCAGCCGTCTACCTCCCCTATCCCACTCCCCTCCCCACCCTTGCCTCATTCTGGGTTTGCTGATCCACCTCTTTGTTTCCATAGCCCCTTATATGGGTTTTATTATTGCCATTTGCGTAGGTACTTTGGAGTTTGATTGCTAGTACCCTCTCATCTCTCCAATAGGCTTTTTCACTTCTGCCAAGGCACAGTGCTTGGCCTGTATAGGAACTCAGCAGATTTTTATTCCATATTTTCCTATATGGAAAGTCCAAAGCATCCCAAACAGGATGAAATATACATATGTTATTTACAAAAAGTTCACATAATTTAATATAGCCAACTTTTTGTTGGGAGAGGAAGTCTATCTGGGG